CCCATGGGGTCAGACCAGCCTCCGTGGACCCCAGGCTCCCCCCAGAGTGGGGCTTCACTCCGTGATGCAGATGGAAGAGGCCAGACAGTCCACAGCTGGAAACCACGACTCCAGCAGCTCATGGGGCTCATCTCCACGGCAGAGGGAGATGGAGCAGGAGGCACAGCCAAGCCCAGCCTCCCCGGCAGCGCTAAGCCCTCTATTTACACAGCTTTCCTCCCCAAAGACCTCAGCTTCCCCACGTTTAATCACCAAGTATGATACTCACTTACTTTCACACACACAAATAAGATTAGGGGAGGAAAAAAAAAAAAAAAAAAAATGAAGCCCGGCGCTGTAGAGCAATAAAGCTCTCACGCTGACAAATGGGAGCCCTCCCCGCCCCACGCTTAATGTGGCATCAGGGAAGTGTTGTGGAATTCAACAGGAACTGAATCAAAGGCTCTCAGCAGCGCTCCTCTAAGCGAGCGTGTCACCGCTAAGCACCCCCCGAGCAGCCATCAGGAATCCTGCTGCCAGATGCTGCTGGATAAACTCGCCGCTGGCACCTGAACCCCTCCTTGTTCGTGCCCTGAAAGAGATGGCGAAGTAAAAAGATGCATCAAGAGAGTCTGTGTTGGGAATCAGCTCCCTCCTGCCCTGCTCAACAAGACTCATCGTCAGCTGTAAATCCTGCCCACTGCAAAAAAAAAAAATCAGAGGGCAGGGAGCCACCAGGACTTAGACTGAACATTAGGAAGGGATTTTTCACAGAAAGAGTGGTCGGGCATTGGAACAGGCTGCCCAGGGAGGGGGTGGAGTCACCATCCCTGGATGTGTTTAAGGGACATCTAGATGGGGTACTGAGGGACATGGTGTAGGGGAGGACTTTGTAGAGTAGGGGAGATGGTTGGACTCGATGATCCCAAGGGTCTTCCAACCTAGACCATTCTATGATTCTATGATTCTATGACTTGTTCTGCAGTATGTTTGCAGCAAAGTACCCCCAGATCTTCCAGAAATACACCTACAGCTCAGCCACGACTCATCAATAACACCCCGCTGCTGCAACACCACCCCACTGTCAGCCCTGGGGACCTTCCCGTCTCCCAGAGCCGTGCCCAGGCTGGCCAGAGGAGGAGGAACACTGGGGCTCAGCACCCTGCTCTGTCACAGCATCACTGCACCCCCCCTCACCCCATCGCTGCCCGAGCCGCGCTCAGAATAGAAGCGCCCAAATCCTCTTTGCTGAGCGCTCGGCTGCAGCGCAGGGGGCAGGGGCTCAGAGACAAGAGCGGGGAGGGGGAAAGAGGGGGGAAGTCAGGGGGGGTTTGCCAGACCGGGGAGAAAAAGAGGAAGGGGGGGCTGTTTTAGGGGGCAGTCTGACCCACGGGGCTCAGTGGGAAGCGGGGGTTTGCACACACACTGTTGTGTATTCAGTTGTGCAACACTAGGCCCTTCGCTCGCTGACACGATGGGTTTCAAGGAACATCTCACCATCCTGTCCCTTCCCAGGTGCCCTCCAGGGAGGAGAACTGACGGAGACACGGCGCAGCCAGCGAGCCACAGGCTGGGCTGGGGGGAAAGCTGTCGGAGAGGGCTTCCCTCCACAGAGCTGGTATCCAAAACACCTCTTGGAGAAGCCAAGAAGGCTCCAGGTGCCACAGTGCCCGCTCTTCCGGGGCATCCCACAGTCACAACACTGTGTTTCCCCTGCTACGCTGTCTCCACACTCACCTTTCTCCCCAGAAGCAGAGTAGATGCTGTTGTGCCGCGAGCTCCGACCTCTCTGGAGAGAAAGAACAAAAAGAGAGAGAGTTCTGTGTCAGGGAGAGGTAGAGAGGCCAGCTGGGAAGCTCTGAAAGGGCCTCACTGAGCTTTCCACCCTCCATTCCCTTCGGGAAGCTTGGAAACACTTACTGTAGTTCCCTTAAAGAGCACTACAGAGCACTGGTTAATTAATTTGCATTTGTGAGAAGTCCTCCAAGGAGAGGCAGAGAAGAGCTCGGTATGAAATCAGCTCTGAGCTGTGGTGGGAGCATCTCGGGATGGACCTTGGCACCGGCCTCGCTCCATCTGCGTTTCAAACCCAGGTGGAACCAGGCTCACTGGGTTGAGTTCCCCAACCCCAGCACCCACCAGGGTACTGCAGCACCTGGGACGGCAGGGCTGCTCGGGAGTATCTTCACTCCTAAGAATAAGCCTGAATTTGTCTACAAATACCTTCTCTACATCTTTCAGCTAGTCAAAATACCTAGTAAATATTACCAAGATCATAAAGATACTCTTGGTATTACCCTATTTTTCTGTCTTTCAAGGCAAAGAGAAAAACCTCTGCCCCTTGCCCGAGCCTTCTGCTCCCAGCAGGCTGTTTGGGTAACAGACACATGCTCCTCTCCTGCTCCAGGGACTGCCCTGTCCCCCAGAAGATGCAGAGGAGGAGCCCTCACCTCGCTGTCCCGGCTGGTGCGGCGGCTCTGGGTCACACACTGGATCTGCCAGGGCAGGGGCTGGTACACGAGGTAGGGCAGGGGCTCCTCACGGAACAGGTTGGTCCCGAGCTGGACACAGGAGGGATTTGCAGCAGGTAAGAGCAGAACAGAGCAGAGAAGGGCAACAGAAGGAGCTGCTGTTCCATGTGCCTCACCAGCGATCACAACCCCTGGTGGCCCCACCAGCTGCGGTGATGCTCAGCATCTCTTCCTGCCCCACATGGACAAGTGATTCTCATCATGAGAAGTGCTCACGGGTAAGGCTGAGGCCGTGGGGCATCGAGTTATGAGTGGCCCAGACCTCCCCAGGGTGGCACAGGAGCCACCAGGACAAGCAGAGACCTCTGCCTCCTCTCCCTGCCCTGAGGTGGTTTTGGGGACAGGGAATGGCAGAGGACAGGAGCTGGTCTAGAGATGGCAGGAGAGACAGGGCTCAGAGCTCTGCTGTAGGCTCACCCCGTGACACTGGGACAGTCACCTCCCCCAGTGTCCCACACCACAGCAGGGACAAGGCACCGCGCTGTGGGACCCTCTAGCCCTGGAGAAGGAGCTACAGAAGCCCGAGGCACCATCAGTGGGGCCAGGAACAACCATCAGGCTGGTCCCACAGCTCCTACCAAACCTTTCTGGTTTGTTTTCCTCTCCCCAGACAAGAGCAGCCCTGGACAGGGCAGGGTTTTCCTTCCTCCCCAACCCCGAGAGCTCCAAGACTCAAGGTGTGCTTGCTCCCCAGACTGGGAAGCTCAAATACCTGGGCACAACGGGGGACTGACCTCTGCAGGGCTCCGATACACCCACTAAGGTGACAGTGACAAACACAGCACTCCCGAGGCACCACCACAGACCCCGTGCTGAGGACGACACACCACAGGGGCTCAAGGCACAGCCTGGGCCATGCTGGAGCAGGAGCTGAGACACCCCCAACCCGCATTCCCCACTTCTCCGAGGAGATAACCCACCACACGCCTCCAGAAATGAGATGGAAAGCGTTAAATCCTGCCTGCAGCCAGCCCGGCCCCGACTCACCTGCCCAAACGCTCTCACCACGAAGAAGAGTGCTGTCATCAGGGTTCCCAGCATGGCCGGGGCTCCGAGGGGCTCCCGCTGCTCCGGGAGGTCACAGCTCTGGGAACACCGCGCCGTCTCCGAGCAGCCGGGGACTGGAAGGTGCCTCCCCCAGCGAGCAGAGCCCCAGCCCCTTAATGAGCTTAGGGCTTGTCTTCCTCTTGGCAGAGTAATCACACGCTGTCCTTTTGCTCTTCTAATCGCCCCGTTTCTCCAACACGTAGGGCGCTGGCATTCCAGGAAAAGCAAATCCTCTTCTCTCCGTAGGGATGCCAGCCGGTGCCCACGGACACACACGCAGCCCCCACCTCCCACCCACGAGCTGGATGCTCCCACCCATGAGCTGGAGCATCCTCCTCCACTCAGCAGGATCACAGCCTCCCACCAAAGCCTCCCACCCCCAGGAGGTGCCTACAGCTCAGACTTTGGGTTTCTCAGAGCCAACCTGTGCTCTCTCCTGGGGCACAGGCCCACCAGAAGTGCCCACCTGGACACCGTAGAGATGTCCTCCAGCAGCTGGTGCTGCAGCTCCCCAGCAGGCAGAGACACACAAGCACAGCTCGTGCACAGCAGGAACTGGGGTGAGCCAGGGTTTGGTGGGGGTTTGTTTCTCTGCTCTACCAGTAGCTCAAATCCTGGTGTGATCGCCCACCATCCCCACATCCCCACCACCCAAACCCAGGGTTTCCAGTGAGAATGTGCAGTGCAAAAGGAAGAGCTGGAAAAATAAGGGCAGGTTGAACCCCTCCTGGCCCCACCATTGCTGTCACCAGCCGTGGCACACGTCTCCAGTCCCAACCCTGGAGAGTCCCCAAGGCAGGACACGTGGCAAATGCCCCGTTTGGGCAGAGGGAGCCTTTGCTGCAGTGCTTGGAGACACAGGACCAGCCGAGTCTTTCTCCAGAGACTGCCTTAAAGGGAAAAATCCCCGAGGAGCAAAGATGCACAGCGGGGAACGGCTGCCATGAGGGTCCCCAGGGCTGCTGGAGGGAGACAAGAAGGGGAAAGGAACAAGCCATGGGAAGAGGAGAGCCCATCACCAATCCTGCCTGCTTTCTGGCAATTCCCAAGGCCACTTCCATGGAGAGAGACCACCGTTGTAAGGAGAGGGATGAGAGTTGTATGAAAAGGGCAGGATCCGAGCCCGAGAGCAGCCGCCCTGTCAGCTGAAAGCCCCACCAACAATTGCTTTTGTAGTTTTGCTTTTCAGCTTTCTACCTGCCCCTGCGTTCCCTGCCCTGGGCAGACACTTCACAGAATAATGGTGACAAAGCCACACCGAGCTCAAGTGGCCTTGGAAATCGCCAGAAGTGACCTTGACCAGACAAAACATGAAATAACCCAGGAACAAGCGAGGGGAGGATGTGAAAGGGAAGTTGGGTATCTAGGGCTACAACAGAACATCTCAACAAGATAAAAAAAAAAAATAGCTACAAACATCACTGTCATACAAAACAGGCTCCTGGAGATTTAATTTGCGTACAAAACCAGATACAGGTTTTAAACAGAGAGAGGAACACGTTTCAGACCAGGTTATTGCTAAGAAAGCAGGCGTTTCTCCACACTAACACAGCCCTCTGCGCACACAGCGAGGAGGCTTTGGGCACAGCAGCTGGCAGCCCCCCCACGCTCAACGGGGATCCAGCTCCCCAAGGACAAAGGCCGGCCCAGGAATTAAAAAATTTCTAACAGACCAAACAAAAATATATATATATCTATACAGACATTCTTTAGGGTTTTATAATGATGCTCATCAAAAATATATTTCTATTTGCATGTAAACATCCCCCCGCCACGCTCAGCGTGAGCTGGTGCGCTGCCAGAACCCAGCGCCCGGGAAGCAGAGCAGGAGGGGGCTGTGCTTCCCTGCCCTGCTCATCCTCAGCCCCCACGAGGAACACCACCGGCACGGAGAGGTGAGGAGCAGCAGCTTCCCCACCCTCCCAAACCCGCTGTCTCCGGAGGGAGCAGCTTTGGAGATGGTTCCTCACAGATGGGATCCCTCGAAACGCAGCCGCCTCCCTCAGACAAGCGGTTCAGCCTTCTTTTAGAGCATGCAATATTTAAAGTCAGCTCGGAGGAAACACCGACAGAGGCAACCAAAACACCACATTTCCCACTCAGCAGTGGGAGAGCCTCAGCCCGGTGGCTCCCCGGTGGCTCCAGCGGCACCATCTGCCCCCTCCCAGCTCCGCACGTCCTGGTGGGATGGTGACACGTTCTGGAGACACCATCTCCAGGGGAGCATCTCCAGGGGAGCAGCACCGCAGCCACCCGCAGAGCAAAGCACCCTGCCAGCTCAGAGCTGAGCTCCAACGATGCATCCCAGCCCCTCCGCCGTGTCCCCAGCCCCCCAGAGACCACGGTGAGAGCCGCTGTCCCCAGGGCACCAGGCTCCCCCCGGCCCCCCCAGCACTGCTGGCTGGAAGGAGAGCCCAGCTGCTGAGCCCAGCTCTGCTCCCTCTCCCCAGGGCACGGAGGGACGCAGCTGGGGCTGCATCTCCACCTTCACACTAGGCTGAGTTCCTCAACAGCTCCTGCACCAGCGGGCACCATCCCGCTCCACGTCACCATCGGAGCATCCGTAACGTGGCAGAGGAGCTCCCGCAGCGCAGCAGGAGGGGGAAGCAGGGAGTGCTTTCCCAGATCCACCAGGATAAGCCACACTTGGTTTAGTTCCTATTGCTGCCACCCCAAAAAGAGAGGAACATTCCCTGAGAGTCAGGATCTGCCGTTCTGTCCCCGGAGTCCACAGCCCTTTGGCTGCCTGTTCCCCTTGCTCACACACGGTGGAGGCCAGATGTCCTGCCCCACCTGCAATTAAGCATTTGCTGGGCATCGGTGCGGGCTCATTTCCTGCCACGTCTCCTCCAGTGAAGTCTCCGCTGGATCCACGTCCTCCCCCTTGACCAGTTCCTCCAAGTCCTCCGTGATTCATGGCTCTGGCTCACGACTGCCGGAATACTAATGAGGGAACTGTTGATTTATTGAAGCCCTGATATTTCACCACTGGATTAAACAGTCTATAAAGTATATTTGGACACATTACAGGATTAGAAGAATCCACCTGGGAAGTTCGCTTCCTCCTTCCTCCGCTCTCTTGTAAAGAGACTTTATTTCAAGGGCACAGCACAAGGAGAGGCTGGAGATGGCCGGGCATTGCTGGAACCCCAAGTATCACCAGGGAGACCACAGGGGCCTCAGCCACCATCTCTCCAGAGCCAAGTCCCACCTTTTAGTAATGGTAGACTTTAATTTGTCTGTTTTCATCCAGTCCCAGCTGCAGCAGGCTGGGGCTGCTGGCGGGGGGCTTCTGTGTGCCTGGGAAGAGAGGTCTGGCAGGCGGGTGAAGGAAACGCCGGGGTTTTGGGAGGGATGAGGACGGGCAGAGGCAGCAGGACAGGACCCGAGGGGCAGGAGCCAGCTCCACGCAAACGTGCTGGATTTAGCCTGCTGCCTCCAAGCCCCATGGAATTAGAGGGGGATTAGGGAATTCAAAGGAGCACCCTGCGCTACGGGAGGCCCGAGGGATTTGCTGCTAATTTCAGTGCAGACTGTGGAGGGGACAGCGACAGCCCCGGTAATGCTGTTACAACACAGGGCTGGAAACATCCCCACTAATAGCACTGGGAGGTCTCATCCCACCCAGTTGAAGATCCACCCACGTTACGACACCGCGCAGAACCGAGGTGGAGGGAGAGGTGCAGGGCTCCAGCCCTCCCTGCCCAGCCACGAGGCCACCCCATGTGCCAGGTCCTGGGGACTCCAGGCACCTTCCCCTGGCAGAGACACTGCTCCCTGCCCCGAATCCATGACACCAAAACCAGGCTACGAGACCAGGCCCCCTATTCCCCTGCCACCTCCTCCATTCTGCACTCTAATTTTGGTTTTTTTTAAAACCATCTCACATTACAAGCTCCCACTGCTGTGAGCAGTGACACTAAAGAGGATCACAGCACAACGAGGGGAAGGGAAAAGACTCTCTGTCAAGTACAGCTCAAAAAAAAAAAAAAAAGAGCAAGCAGGCCACTCCTGCTCCAGCTGCTGAACACCATATTGCTTTGCAGAACTGGGCACTGAAATAGAGGCTGAGGCTTCCAAATTGCTCTTCAAGGCTTTCGAGCTCCTGACTCGCTCACCTCCTGCTGTCTCCTCCCACCTGCTGCAGGAAGCTGGAGCGCAATTAAAGACCAGACCCGGGCTAAGGATACATTTGTGAATCCCTCTTGAAGTCCTCCAGCCACTTCTTGTTGGTCTCTATCATTCCTTGAATACTCATCGCGTCCGACCCGCGGCTCTGGAACTGGGAATGCTGGAACAGCCGTATTTGCTCACTGTTGCATGAGAGAGAGACAGCACAAGTGGGTGAGAAATAAAAACCAATAAAAGAGCAATAAAAGCACAACAACACAACAACTCAAGGAAAAAAAAAGACCCTTACTCTGCAGGTACGTATCCCAGCTTGTTGTCCAGAGGCTTGGAACTTTCACTGAGCGATGGGAACCCACCTGGAAAACAGACATTAAATACAGGCCTCCCAAAAAATTTTACAGGCACAGTCTTTCTATCTGGGTGCATCTGCTTTCTCATACTCCAGATACACAGTCCCTACAAGCTGAGCCCCCCCGGAGGACACAGTGGTGTTAAGGAAACCAAGACACTGAACTCTATTGGCAATTCTCAGGAGGTTTTCCAGGCTCCTCTTTCACTCCCTTCTTTAACTGCTGCCTTGGGTGTATATTAAAGGCTGAGCTGCTCCAGAAGCAAGATGACAAGATCAGCCATATGCTGCACCGCTCGGAATGAAAAACCCTTTTTCTCCTTCTTTATCTCATTAGCACCCTTCCATCAGCAGCATCAGCAGATCTGGCCTCAGCAGCATCGGGAGGAGCTGGGGAGAACTCGCAGGGCTTTGGGATCCGGAGTCCCAGGAGCAAGCAGGAGGGTTCCAAGCAGGAGACTCACCTGGGAAATACTTGTGCCATTTCTCTGCCAGGATGGTGTCCACCGCCTGCCCCGCCGTGAAGGAGCGCCCGGTGCTCAGCCTGGTGCTCCAGGCCCAGGGGCTCACCAGGGACACCCCAGAGCCACTGGCCTGAAGCCCTGCCACGGAGGTGTATGAAGACAGAGGGACACCGTCACAGGGCGTGGAGGTGAAGAGTGGAGACTGGCAACTGCTCAGGGAGTCCAGGACACCAAGGACCCCGTTCAGCTCGCTGGTGATACGCCGCAGGGACTCCGACAGGTACTGGATCTTGTCCGACTGCGGGGCAGGCCGCAAATCGGTTCCCAAATCAACTGGCAGAAGAGAGGGGAGGAAAAGAGGGATCACTGGGAAAGCAGAGGAGACAGTGCCTGCCTGGCAGGAGGCTCTCTTTTCACCATGCTGTGCTCCAGGCTGGGTTTGATCAGTGGGTGCTGAGCAGGATCCGTCCCTCCAAGTCCTGCCGTACCCTGTGCCGTGCAGCCATCAACATCCCGGCCATCCCCTTGCCAACAGCAAGTGCTTTCAAGAGCTGGAAGCCCCAGCACTGCACACCCTGCCCCTGGCACGGGCAATCAGGCTTCATTTCCATGAAAAAACCCCCACAAACTGAGCAGGAGGCAGAATGGGCTGGTTACACTTCACACATTCAAAAAGAGCCAAGGTCTCCAGGCCACCAGCCAGGCTGGAGGTAGGACCAGGAGGACTGTGCTGATACAAGGGCTCTCATATGGCAAGAGAAAACTCTTCATTTTCACATGTGCCTGCAGATATTTGACTGATCAGGGTCAGAGAGACAGTCCCAGACTGGACAGATTGTCAGTCTGTCGCCGGGGGGATGTTTTCCAAGTTTTCTTTAAGCTCCAGCCTCGCCAGCCTTCCCGCAAGCAACACAACCCTCCTGCCTTCCTGGCTGTGCGTGGGGAGCCCTCCTGCCCCCCTGCACAACTCCGTTACAGGCAACTCAGGGCAAACAGCAAAAGCACAAGCAGCAGCAGGAACCACACCAGCCTCTCCTGCCAGAGAGTGAGGAAGAGGAAGGCCAGGAACCTGCAGAGGAGCAGGAACAGCTCAGCAACCACGGAGGGAAGAGCTGAAGCCAGGTTTTATAATTCACTCTCAAAACAAAAAGGTAGAGATTTAAAAGGCAAATTCACAGACAGATTCTGTCCCTCTCACCTGCCACTGCTTGAAAAAAAAATAAGTCTATTTCCTGCCTGTAAAGTGTTCTATACAGAGCAGTCCCAGTCACAGATTACAGACCTGCTTGAAACGCTAACGAGCACCAGTGAGAACAACAGAAGGTACATCAGAGGCGAGAGGCAACGCCAGAAAAAGGTCTAAATAATTCCAAACTGGGCACAGCCCATGCAGCCTGGCAGGCACTTACGTTTAGGCTGACACAGATTTACACTGGACGTGCTGTTTGTGTCCTCAGAGTTGCTGAGATCAAAAGTCACCACCTTCTTGCACGCAGCGCTCTTCAGCGTGTCTTCGTCTGAAAGCTGGTTACAAGAAGGAAAACAATGCAAATGAAACCTGCTCTTCTGTCCCTGAACCATAAAAGCCACTGGAATCCTGCCCTACAGCTCGTCTGCACAGGCTGGATGGAACAGACAGACAAAGGGCAAGTGAAGGCCAACTCCTCTTCAGTCCCTGACAGCAAAATCTGCAACCCAAGAGGCTGCTTGGTCTCTAGAAGCAGCACATGTGCACTAGGGGCCAAATCTAACAGCCACGGGAATGAGCCCTTCTAGGCAGAAGTCAAAGTGTTTTGTGCTTCAAATAAGCCTCAAAAACTCTCCCATGGGCTGGGTTCTCTCTTTGCACCAAGGACAAGTGCTTGACCATCAAAGGTCTCCTGCTCTCACGTCTGCTGCCGCCCTGCCTAAGGCCATGGTCCCTGGCAGAGCTGAAGAGATGCCAGGGCTCGCCTTGGTCAGGAGAGCAGACTCCATCCCAGCTCACAGGAGGTGACCTGCCCTTGTCTCTGGGCTCACATGGTGCTGCTTTCTGTACTCACCCTGCAGCCACCCGCTGAACCCAGCCCAGATGCCATCAGCAGAGGGAAGGCACAGTCCTTGCCATCCCGACCGAGACTCAGACAGTTAAATGGACATCTAACCATCCTGATGTGAGGTTTCAGGTTATGTTGGAGGATATTTCAGCACAGCAGTGCTGCTTTCCATAGCCATTGGTTGTTGACCTAACAAACAAGCTTCTCACAAGCCAGTGAGCTCTGCAAGTGCTCATCCATCCCCCGTGCTGTTGGCTGTGGGTCCAGTGAATCCCAGGGGTCACAGGTCAATTCAGCCTGTCATTCTCTCCAGCTTTGTGACCAGCCTCCTCTCCCACCCTTCAGACAGACACACCATTCTGCCCTCAGAACGTGTTTCTAAAATCCAGCTCTGCTGGCAAACACCAGTCTTTGACCACCAGTGGAACAGCCCTCCTGGGGGCCAAAAGCCCTGCCGAGACTCCAGCCCAGGGGAGGGGGCCGAGAGCTCGGGGCAGGCCCAAGGAACAGCCACGCTGGTGGTTACCTCCTCCAGCAGCGAGGACTCCAGCTGGCTCAGCTTCTCCTCTTTCTTCTTCAGCAGCACCTGCCCTTTCCGCATGGCTGACTTCATCTTGTCCAGCTGCTTCGCTTCCTGCAGTGGATCAACAGCCAAGGAGGAAAATTTAACAAGGATGACAGGAAATAATCTGCACTAGTGGTTCGGGTGAGTTTCATTATTTCACTTCTACTCAGCACAGGAAATCATGCTGTCAGAGTAAAATTGCTCCCAAGTCTTTGAGAACATGGGGAGTGGAGGGCACAGAGGGCAGAGAACGTCTCAAAGCGAGTTCTCCTCAAGGAAAAAGAGGTTTCATTTCCAGACCCTGCACCCAACAGGGTCAGCAACTTTGGTTCAGCAAACATGAATGCTCTCTGTGATCAGTGAAGGAAATTATGGCCTTCCCCATCTTTGGTTGGCATATCAGAGTTGGTGAGTGAACTCAGAGAGACTCCAGAGCCCCTGTCCAAGCAAGAGTGAGGTCACTGTAGAGCTACAGCCACAAACTTGTACCTACTGACAGGACAGACATCTGTCACTTCCTCTACTTTAGGATTTGCATGACACGGGAATCCCTTTTTCCCCTCTACCAGACATTTTCTCCATTTTTGAGGTCCCAAGAGCTCCAATTAACAAGTTCCTGCAATCCAGCAAGGTACTGAATGCTGGTCACGCTGCAGTGACTGCTTCACAGAGCCTTCCCAACCCAAAGCACACAACAGAACAACAACTATTCTATCAGAGCCTTGTGTTATGATGAAGGTGACACAAGCGAGGGCGAGTACTACATATCTGTCATAAAAGACACACAAGATCTGATTTTGAGGAGGACTGAAGACCCACAGCTGCCTGTCACTGCAGCAGAGCCAGGAATCCATCCCAGGGCTGATCCACTTCTGCAGCCACCGTGCCCAACATCTCAACCCTCGGGGGCTCACCTCCTCCAGGTTCTTGCGCACCCCCTCCAGGAGCTGGGAGCTGTCGGGGTCCTGCACCACCTCCTGTGCTTTCTGCATCTCCTGGCGCCACTGCTGCTTGGCAGCTTTCAGGGCCGTGTGCCTCTTCCTCATGGAGCGGGTCTGGCGCAGCAGGAACTCCTTGGCGTTCCTCAGGGAGATCCCTTCGGCAGAGATGTAGCTCCTGACGCTGCGGGGAAGGGACAGGCTCTGCACTGGCTGGGCCACCCTGCAGGCCTCAGGCAGCACCCTCCCCAAAACCGACTGTCAGAACATTTGCTTGTGAAACCAAAGCAAAAGTGTTCTCCCAAAACAGCCGGCACGCAGATACTCACTGGTCAAACTGGAAGTTGCCATCCTCGGGGCTTTGAGAGCCGGGGGAAGCTGGGTCTCCAGATGAAGGCTGAGGAGTTGAAACATTTCAAAGAGTAACAAATACGAACGGGAAACAGAACCCCAACACCCCCCAGAATCCAGCTAGGAGCACAAATTCAGAATGACATCACCACGGTATTGCCCAGGCCCAAAACCAGTGCCAGGGGTGGTTTTTATATAACAAGACATTTCAAGAGCTCAATGTCAAGTGGAAACCAGTGACGAGTGGCATTCCTCAAGGGTCAGTACTGGGACCAGTGCTCTTCAGCGTCTTTGTTGGAGACACGGACAGCAGTTTGAGTGCAGCCTCAGCAAGTTTGCTGATGACACCAAGTGGTGTCATTCGGGTGGTGACACACTGGAGGGAAGGGATGCCATCCAGAGGGACCTGGACAGCCAGAGAGGTGGGCCTGTGCCAGTCTCATGAAGTTCAACCAGACCAAGTGCAAGGTCCTGCACCTGGGTCACAGCACCCCACGCACAAATCCAGGCGGGGCAGAGAATGCCTTGGGAGAAGCCCTGAGGAGAAGGGCTGGGGGGTGTTGCTGGATGAGAAGCTCAACACAGGCTGGCAATGTGCAACAGCAGCTCAGAAAGCCAAGAGCATCCTGGGCTGCATCCCCAGCAGCATGGCCAGCAGGACAAGGGGGGGTCTGCCCCTCCACTCTGCTCTTGGGAGACCCCACCTTGAGTTCTGTCTTGGAGTCCTCAGCACCAGAAGGACATGGACCTGTGGAAGCGAGTCCAGAGGAAGCCATGAAGATGCTCTGACTCTCTCCAGCAGTTCCCCATCCTTCTTGAACTGGGGGGCCCAGAACTAGACCCCAGTGCTCCAGATGTGTCCCTACGAGGGCAGAGCAGAGGGGAGGGATGACCTCCCTCCACCTGCAGCCATGCTCTTTTGAATGCACCCCAGGAGACCATTGGCCTTCTTGACCACACAGGCACACTGCCAGCTCACGGGCAGCTTGTTGTCCCCCAGGACTCCCAGGTCTCTCTGCAGAGCTGCTTTCCAGCAGGTCAGCCCCTGACCTGTACCAGTGGAGGGGGTTAATTTTGCCTGAGGTGCAGGACCTTACACTTGTCCTTGTTGAACTTCAATAGTTTCACACTCCTTATCCCCACAGAAATCATATATAGACATCAAAAATACTAAACATACTGCTGTCCCCTGGCAAAGAAAAAGGCAGCCCTGCCTCTCCACTGAGTTCACACAGAAGGAACAAGAGCTGGGATTTTCAAGGGAGTTGAACTCGGATCAGAATCTCAGCTCTCACAAGGCAAACACCTTTGCTGGCTGCTTTACTCACAGCTTGAGTGGTTTCTCTCAGGTCTTCAACGTGGAGCTCAGCATTCCTTCTTGGAGATTCCACGCTTTCTTCTGCCTCCAGTTCTTTCAAAGTCTCCTGTTTGCTCCTGACCACTGTCTCCAGCTCACTGCCACAAGGAAAGGGAACAGTGGCAGCTCTTGATTAGACAGGTCTGTCCAGCCCAGTCATCTGTCTGCACTGGTGTCCAAAGTGACCTCCAGTTTCCAGGAGGGAAAGGGCCACAGATGGGCAAGACAACACCAGTAGGGCTCTGTGGGGTGGTATGGAGCATTTCAGTGTCCCTCTCAAAGCATCTTATCAACCTCACAAGACAGATGGGGGAAGGACCAAGAAGTGAACCTGAGCAGCAGAGGCAAAGGGACACATCTTCACAGCAAGTCATGAAGAGATCTGGAAACAGACCCCAGGACCTCCGTGCCCTCAACACACAGTAAAACCCCCATCAGGATTCTGAAGGAACGTGACCCAGCACACAAGAAGTTCAAGGGCAAGGGGGAGGTCTGGGCTTGGTTAGAGAGGTTTTGGCCAGAGGCACAGGGCAGATTTGTTGCATTAGAGAGAACTTCTCATCCACACACCTGATCCGTTTCTGCAACCGCTGGCTTCGGGTCTGCAGCAGGTCCACCTGGGCCTCCAGCTCAGCCTTCTGGTCCTGGAGCTCTTCCAGAGACCTGCGCAGCTGCCGGATGGACTCCAGGAGGCTGGCGTGCTCCTTCCTGCTCTCCTCCAGCCGGAGCTGAGAAGTGAAAGCAGCTTCCTAGGAGGAAAAACAGTAATTTCCCTAACACCAAAATAAAAGGCACACAAGTTGCCGCCTGCACGGTTCACAGGAGGTCCCAGAGCTACCAATGTACAGACAAATCCTGGAAGAACAGGATTGTCTCTTCTTTTTCGGGAAACAGTTCAGAGCTAATCAAGCTCCCAGCAGGATGGCACTCCAGGCTGAGGCAGGGAGGGATTTTCAGACTCACAATTTAGAAGCTACAGTTCATTATTTTTTTTAAATCCACAGTACCAGTGCACTGCCCTCACCCCCAAAAGCAGCACGGCAGCTCTCCAAGCTCAGGCATACGTACATCTCTTTCCAACTCAGTCTGTCTGTCTTCATCCAGCAGCTGCTGCCTTCTCTTCCTCAGAGACTCCTCCTACATAGGGATGAGGAAGGTGAGTGTCAGAGCAAGGAGACTGCTGGTGCTGAGCAGCATGGGCAGGACAGAGGTCAGGCCTACGCCTCAAGACCATTCCAAAACCCTTGAGGACTGTTGGCAGTGTTGCTTTATCACCCCCCACACACATAGACACAAGTTCCCCTCCCTCTATTGGGCTGACTCACCTGGCTCAGAAGTTGCACTGATCTGGCTTGGATGTTCTTCATACGCATTTCAAGCTCGTTTTCTGAATCCTGGAGTTTTCTTTCCTGCACAGAGGTGCCAAGTTAAAGAGAGAACGGCCCAAGTTCCTCACTCACCAGGAGGAACAAGGAAAACTGGGAATGCGTGTCCTTGTGTCCCTCTGGGCTACAGAGGCACCGAGGTGTCACGGTACACAAGGACCTGCTGGATGAAGCCTTCTCCTCACCTTTTCCCTGTGCCTGTGCTGCAGGGCGGTCAGACGCTCCTCCAGCTCCGCCTGCAGAGCTTTCAGCTCCACTTCATGAAGCTGTCGGAGTCGCCCCATCTCGCTTCGCAGGCCTTCCAGCAGCTCTGCTCTCTGCTTTCTCTCCTGTTTGTCCCAAAACACAAAGGAGGAAAGCGGCTGAGTGAAGCGCAGGTGTCTCCAGGGGCTGACATGAGCACACAGGACGCGCCCTCTGGACAGGGAGCAAACACCAAACTCGGCAGATTAAAGCCCCTTTTGCTTACAGGGACACCACTGAAGGGAAGGGCTCAAGAAAGAAGAAACAACCCATGAAAATGAGGTTGTGTCACACCCTGCTGACTCTATAGTCAGAGGTGGGAGGCAGAAGGCTTCCCAGAAAAACACCTGCAGAAATAGGAACAATCTTCTCGTACAGAAGTCCACACATGAACGTGGAAGTTCCCTGCACAGATAATGTTTTGGCAGTTTATAACCCCAGCCCGAATTCACTTTACAGTTCTCCTAGAAGGAAGGAGACTTCCAGTTCTAGCAGTGGCTGAGATGGGCAGGTCCAGCAAGCAGCAGTGCCAGCCCAACTGCTGTTCCCCAACCGTACCTCCTCCTCATACTGATCCCGAATCCCCGCGAGGGCCTCCTGGTGCTCCTCTTTCATCCTTGCCATTTTCCTCTCATGGTCTTTTTCCACCTCCTGGCGTTTCTCTCTCAGAAGCTCACTGAGCTGCAGGGAGGACACGGGAGGATGTTTGTCAGAACCACAGCACTACAGCAGTCCCCCAGGACAGCTACCTCGAGCAACACGAGCAGAAGGACTGGAGTTCAGAAAATAGGACAAGGCTGTGGCCTGGGTAGTACAAGACAAGCACCCTGATGGGGCCAGATACTGCAGGGGGGTCCCTTCTCCTAAGGCACCCACTATCACCCCTAGGAAGGGGACACGGCCTCTCAAACTCCACCGAACACCCAAGGAGAGAAGCTGAAGACCCTTCAGCAGCCCAAGGAGCACACTTGCCTCGCGCTCGTACTCTGTCACTCGGTAGGCTTTCTGCTGCACTTTCTGCTCTGCTCTCTGCAAGTCTTCATGAAGCTGAGCCTCCTCGCCGCTCCGCGCCTCTGCCAGCTGGGACTGCAGGCTGGAAGTGACCTGCCATGAAAGCCACCCACAGACACTTGTCACCCTTCTGAGGAGATCCATTTAGTGCTCTCCTACGGCGAGCAAGCAGCACGGCAGAGACTCGTGTGTGCAGTCTCACCACCCCCTGCTTGGAGCATGTCCAAATGCTGAGCCAGACCAGAACCACGTTTAGGAAGTGGAAAAAAATCAATGCCACCCTCCCTGGTCACCTTTGGTGACAGTGTGGGGAAAGAAACCAGTTACATTCTAAGGACATCATCTTTTACCTTACGATGCTTCTCTTCTGCTGCAGATTTCAACTGCTGGAGTTCAGTTGCAAACTGTTTCTCAAGCTCTTCTGCTGCCTAGAGGAACAGGAACAAGACAGTCTGCTGGAAAACCTCTGTGTGTGAGGACATGCCGTGCAAGATGCACTTGCAATTAATGTCTGTCCATAAGCATCCAAAAAAGCACAATGGTAAATCCCTTTCAATCCAGATTTCATACAACATACCTCACCTTCTATGTGCTTTCCCTCCCAGGAGATCCCAAAGGATCTCACTCATGCTGTGCTGGAAGGACTATGAACTGCCTCTGTTCAAGAACCCCCAGGCTCTGGAGGAGCAAGGCAGCAGCCACAGAGCCCTTCAGAGCTGGTGAAGTGGCTGGGTTTAGCTTGACAGGGACACACAGTGGTCTTTCTCCTTTCTTCAGATGCAATATGGCCATTTAAATAATTGTTATTTAATCACCACTGTAATGAAAATTGGAGGGTGACTCTTCCCCACATCAATCATGCCTCTAACAGCATGCCTAGCATCTTCCCTGTACACTTTAAGTAAGTCATGGTTATTTTATTTCATCTCAACACTGCAGCATTGCAATGCAAGCCAAGTCAGCATAAAGAGGGTGGGTCTGACCCCAGCCGGCAATAAACATCTCACCTTCTTCTTTTCCCTCTCTAATCTCTCCTTGAGCTCACTCAGGAACTGTTCCTTCTCTTCCTCCAGCCCCATCTTCTCTTTCTGCTGAGCCTCCTCCATTTCCAGCTTCATTGTCTCCAAGACAAGCTGCTGTTGCCTCTCCAGGCTCTCCTTCTCCATCACCTGCTGGGATTCCCACTCTTCCCTTAGCTTCTGCAGCGCGGCCTCTTGCTCTGCCCTGGTAGGTTTGCAACAAGAACAGACAGAAGCGAGTCAGAATTTGGTGCTTTACCACTGGACTCCATTGAGGAACCAGAACTGAGAGAAGACACTGCTACAGGACAGGACATGGAAGCCAGAAGAAACTGAGAACCACAGCACAGATTCACGGTGTATCAACTAAAGCCTTGGAAATAAACAGCAAAGCAGTCAGGTGGAGACATATCTGTCAACTAAGTAAAAAAAGAAATAGGAAAATGTTAAGTTTTCCAGTGTCTGCTTCTTTGTCTCCTCCAACTGCTTCCACAGGCCGTGAGAGCCAGGAGACACCTGCTCAAACCCAGCTACGCTGCCATCCTTGGAGATGCCATTTCTGTCATTTACGTGCCCCAGAGCCGTGCCTGGTCCAACTTCACAGCAACTTCAGGACACTTAAGTACCACATCTATTGAGCAAAATTCCATCAGCTCCAAGGAGCAGAGCTGTTACCATGAAGGTCCAGCAGTTTCACCTTCTGTCACCACACAGCTCCCCTGCACGCACAGCATCGTAGTCAGGGCACCAGCTATGGGGGGCTCAGGAGGGCAAGTACCTCTGCTTTGAGTGCTCTCTGGTGGCACACGAGCTGTTTCCCCCCCAAACCAGCAGAGTGCACACCCCCAGGGATGGCAGCAGAACTTCTCACCTTATCCTCTGCGCCTCCGCCTCGGTCTCCGAGGCGATTCTTGCTCGCAGCTTTGAGAGTCTTTCAGCTTCTGCCTTTCTGACACACAGCTCTTCCTCCTCAGAAGCCTTTGCCAGATCTTCTTTTAGAGTCCTGAGAGATGAGCAGCCAGAAAAAAAAAAAACAACCTAAGTTTCAGACCATTAATTCTCCTTCCTGCCTCCTGAACCCAGCTGCTGGCATGGGAGACAGCCCCTGAGCATCAAACTTCTGCGGTGCATTTTTAGAACGCGCTACATCAGTACAGGTGGCACTTGGGGCTTTTTTTCCCAGGTAAACCCTGGTAGGTTTGCAACAAGAACAGACAGAAGCGAGTCAGAATTTGGTGCTTTACCACTGGACTCCATTGAGGAACCAGAACTGAGAGAAGACACTGCTACAGGACAGGACATGGAAGCCAGAAGAAACTGAGAACCACAGCACAGATTCACGGTGTATCAACTAAAGCCTTGGAAATAAACAGCAAAGCAGTCAGGTGGAGACATATCTGTCAACTAAGTAAAAAAAGAAATAGGAAAATGTTAAGTTTTCCAGTGTCTGCTTCTTTGTCTCCTCCAACTGCTTCCACAGGCCGTGAGAGCCAGGAGACACCTGCTCAAACCCAGCTACGCTGCCATCCTTGGAGATGCCATTTCTGTCATTTACGTGCCCCAGAGCCGTGCCTGGTCCAACTTCACAGCAACTTCAGGACACTTAAGTACCACATCTATTGAGCAAAATTCCATCAGCTCCAAGGAGCAGAGCTGTTACCATGAAGGTCCAGCAGTTTCACCTTCTGTCACCACACAGCTCCCCTGCACGCACAGCATCGTAGTCAGGGCACCAGCTATGGGGGGCTCAGGAGGGCAAGTACCTCTGCTTTGAGTGCTCTCTGGTGGCACACGAGCTGTTTCCCCCCCAAACCAGCAGAGTGCACACCCCCAGGGATGGCAGCAGAACTTCTCACCTTATCCTCTGCGCCTCCGCCTCGGTCTCCGAGGCGATTCTTGCTCGCAGCTTTGAGAGTCTTTCAGCTTCTGCCTTTCTGACACACAGCTCTTCCTCCTCAGAAGCCTTTGCCAGATCTTCTTTTAGAGTCCTGAGAGATGAGCAGCCAGAAAAAAAAAAAACAACCTAAGTTTCAGACCATTAATTCTCCTTCCTGCCTCCTGAACCCAGCTGCTGGCATGGGAGACAGCCCCTGAGCATCAAACTTCTGCGGTGCATTTTTAGAACGCGCTACATCAGTACAGGTGGCACTTGGGGCTTTTTTTCCCAGGTAAATGAAATCAGAATCACAGAATCTTCTAGGTTGGAAGGGACCTTAAAGATCATCTTGTCCAACCGTCAACCCAACTGACAAAAATAGACACCCACACAACAAACAAGGAGCATCATCACTAAACCAGACCTCCCAGCACCACATCAACCCGTCTTTTGAACACCTCCAGGGATGGGGCCTCAACCACCTCCCTGGGCAGCCCATTCCAATGGCTGAGAACCCTTTCAGTGAAAAAAATTTTCCTAATATCCAGGTCCTGGATATTAGGTCCTATTAAATGAAAGCAGACTCCAGTGGGGGTACCTGGCTGCATTAGCACATCTGTAAGCTTTGTATTTCCCTCTGACACCCTCTTTACTACTGCTTTATTGCTGCACAGACATTTTCCCTCCAGGTGTGGTTTCTGTGTCTTCCTTTGCACCCAGAACAGCATCTCATGGCATCTCACATCAAGACAGTGTTTCTGGCTGGCTCAGTGCACCAAGAACACAAGTATCAAGGCCACCTCAAATAAAATACAAGCCTTAAGAGACAAATCCCCCAGGAAGAGGACACAGGTCCCAGTGCTGTTCCACTCCCTGGATGGCTATCAGACCCTCACGCTCTGGCTGGGTTTCAGAGACATCCATGTCCTATTCCTTACAGCCTTGTCTGTGAGTCCCTCTGTGAAACACCCAGCACTAGAGTTTCAGGGTGTTCCTCCGGGGTCCCCTCGTCCCCTCTAACGCTCCCATTCCCAGTCCTGGTACTGCAGGAGACGTGCAGATCCTCCCACACAAGGCTGTCTGTGCCAGGCAGAGAGGCCCATGCTCCTCCTCCCCAAAAGCCACCTTCTTGCCTCCTTTGCCCACAGCTCTGCAAAGAGGCACTGCTTCCAAGGAGGTGGCTTGTAACAGCACGAGCCTGTGGCCACCGGCAGTGAAATCCCTTCCAGGAGAGGCTCAGGGGAGAAAGAGGGGGGAGATGGAGTAAAAAAGGAAAGTACCTGAGGGATTTTTCTTTTTGCTGATGAAGCTTCTCAGCTTCCTCCTCCTCCTGCTGCCTCATCTCCTCCTGGAATTGCTGAATTTTCTCCTGCTTTGTTTGCAATAAATGCATTTTCTCTTGCTCAAGCTCCGTCTCCAGCTCCTTGGCTATTTCCTCCAGGGATTCTTTGCTAGGCTGGTTCAAGGACTGCTTGTGTTTGACATCCTTCTCTGGTCGCCTACCAAAAAGAGAAGGCTCCTTTGGCAAAAGGGTGACAGAAAACTAAGTAACACGAGAGGAACAGCAACATCCCCCAACCAGTATCAACCCCAAACCAAAAAAAAAAAAAATCTCAGAGCCACCTCCTCTAGAAGCTTCACAGTTGACAGAGGGACAGACCACACGGAATCCCACCAGACTGCAGCCACGGGCTGCAGAGGGTATAAGGAAGAGCAGCATAGGGGGGAACAGAGAGAAGAGAAGCTTGCTACAGGAAAGGAGTCTTTACAAGGCTGGTGGGGAACACACAGCACGTGCTCGGGGTTTTGAGGAGCGTGTTGTCTCAGGGGACAGCTTGGAGATGCCCCCACACACCACGGGTGAGCCCTTGCACTGAGTCCCAGAGCAACTCTGAGAAGTTAAACCCAGCCCCAGCAGCGCTCAGGCCTGGAACAACTTGTATTTTGGCCCACTGCAGCTCACCTTGCACAGCTCGGCTTCAGGAAGGATGGAGCAGCGACGATGTCCTGGCTTTGGCTGCCAAAGCAGATGCAGTTGGCCCCTGTTGGCAGCCCAGGGCCTGGCAGTGCCCTTCTGGGGGACCAGGTATTTTTCTGCAGTTGCCATCTAAAGTGCGCTGGGAGTTCGCCAGCTCCAGGCAACAGAAAGCCCTGAGCACTCCAAAAATTCTAAACCAATCTGTTTCTAATTAAGTTTTTTTTCAGAGAGCAGGAAAATTATAAGGTCTGAGAGAGGCTGAAGGGGAAAGCGAAGATTAGTGTAGGAGCAAGGTTCTTATTCTGTGCTAGGGAAAGCTGGAGCAGCAAGGTCTCGGCGTGCTCTGAGACCACTAGCGTGAGGCAGAGGGACTTCTGTTCTGCCAGGGATCAGGGAAGTAACAGCCCCAGTATCACAGCCCTGACTCAAAGGGAAAAGGTCTCTTGTGCAGCCGTTAGCAAAAAGACAGAGGAAAGTAGTTGGGGTCTGGAAAAATCCTGCTTTTCCAGTGCTCCCCCCTGAGGCTACGTGCTCTGGGCCAGCTGCAGAGACAGCTACAGAAGGTGTCACTTATCTGCTCTGCAGAGCCATTCAGCCACTTCCACCTTTTTATCCTCCTCTTTCACCCCAGTTCTTGCTTAAAAAGAGATCAGGCCAACTCTTACACATTGACACTACTCACAATTCCCAACAGAAAATGGGAGACTCTGTGCTGGTCTCCACATCAGAGATGGCTTCTCCACCACCCTGTCCTGGGAGTTGTCTATTTTCGCTGCCTATTTCCCCCCCGTTACCTCTGCTGCCGTGTCACCTGCCAGGGAGAGCAGAGCCAGCACCACTCTCCCCGAGCTCTTCTCTCACAGTGGAGCTGGGGTACTTGGACCATCAATTTAGTATTGGCAACAGAGCCCTGGCTTTTGCAGGGAGCGACACCAGGAAGGAGGAGGTTTTTCCAAGCACAAAGCAAAGAGCTCTCTCTCTCTCCATCCCAGGGAGCCCCGTGCCACGGACCCCGAGGCTGAGCTGCTCTTCTCCCCCTCCCTGGCACAGAGGGCTCACTTGGCACTCGCAGCCAAACAGCTGCCTGGCTTCACACGGGGAGATGCTCCAGCTCTGCTGTGCCCACCAAACCGCGTCTCCTCCTGTGCCGGCTCCGCACGCCAGCCTCAGACACCACCACGGGGAACAAAAGGACAAAAGCTGTCACGCTCACGACACAGGGACTCAGAGGAAGCCCTTACTCTTTCTGGGGGGCAGCAAGCTCCTCCGGATGGGTTGGGCTATCCAGCGACCCCTCCTCCGGCTCCCGGGCCACGGCCTCCTCCCGGCTGGAATTTCCTAAAGCAAAACACTTCTCTTCTGGTGTTTCACAAGCACTTTGATCCCCCTCGCTTTGCAGCACACACACACAAAAAAAGGTAACAGAAGAGGAGATTAGCACAGAGCAGGTTCTGGTGGCTGCTGCAGGCAGACAAGGCAGAGGGAAGAGGGGATGTGATGGGCACCACGCCGTGCCTGCCAACAGGACCTGTTTGTCCAACATGGGGCTGCCAAAGGTGCAGCAAAGCTGCAGACCATTCCCACCTCCTCAAGCCCTTCCAGAATTTAATGGGTGTCAGATTCAAAGTACTGAATCCCTTCCCTGGATTATCCCCCTTCTCCTTCCAAGTCCTTTGAGAATTTCCCCGGGATAAGTTGGCCCTATCAGCAATACTCACACTGTTGTCCAAATTACAGATGGAAATCCTGGCAGGCACGTTTACATCTACAGTCCTACTTCATCTTGGGAGCACAAAGACGAGACAAGGCAAGCACAAGCTAAGCTTTTACAGGCAGAGAGCAAGAGAGGATGCACAGCTGGGAAGCAGGTACCCAGTGATAAGGAGACAATTCCTGCGGGTAGAACACGTTTTCAGGGATGTTCCTATGAACAGCTTCTATAAGCACAAGGCTGCCAACCCCGAGCGCACCCAGCCAGTCATTAAGAGGGGATGTAGCTTCCTCTCTTCACAAGTTTTCCTGGCACAGGCAACAGCTTCTTGGTTGCCAGTGCCCCAGAGTATCTGTAGCTCTGCACGGAGGCTAAGAGTTTTGACACAATTCATCTATAAACGCCACAAGCTGCAGTCTCAGAGAGAGGGGAAGGCCTCGAGAGAGGACAGAGCTCACCACTCCACACAGTATCTCAACTGTTTTAAACAAGATACCACAACCAGGCTGAAAAGAGTTCCCCCAGACTGCCTCGTCCTCACAGTAACTAAGGGTCTGGAAGCCAGCATTGCTCTTGGGGTGCACTCCAGACAGAGCTGTCCACATACCAGGATATAAAATAGCTTAATGCTTGCACCTGGTCAACCAGTGACTTGCTGTAGGCCACCCCTATGGAAGGAAGTGGAAGAGAACCATTCACACCACAGCTGGACCCTCCTGCCACCAGGAACAGGCACCTTCACCCATCAGCTCTGCCCAGCAGGACCAGTGCTGACCAAGAGTGGGGGCTGCCTCACAGCCAGAATGGGCCAGCACAGAAGACAGACCTTTGGGGTCCATCATGGGGCAACGGCTATTGGCTAAGCCTTCCACAGTTAAGCACCACAGGGCACAACATTAACAAGTTCAGACCATCTTGGCAAGAGCGTGACATTCACAGCCGTGAAATCAGACAGCTGGAAGGGACACAGAAGCCAGCTCCACATCTGGGGCACTCACGAGGAGGTGAGACACCCGGTTTCGCTGCCCACCCAGCCAGAAGCTGAAACAAAGCTGGAATCTGCTGAGACAGCACTACGGAGGTGGCAGGAGAAGCCAGAGGTTTAGTGGGGAAAGACCCTGTGAGAAGCTGCAGCATCTACAGGGGACACCTGCAGAGGTTACAGTGACCACAGCAGAGCAGGGACAGACAAGACGGGAGAGTGACCCGGAGCCAGAACTGCCTACACCTCCCTCGTCGCTCCGTTTGTACCGTACCTCTCAGCAGCTTTTGTTCTTTTGCTTTGCTCTTCCTCTACACTGGCTTTGCTTTGGTCTCTTTCCTCTTCTCCCAGCTCCTGGGCCTGCAGGTAAAAGCAAACAGTGGGGAGTTTGCTGGCTCCTTCCCCACCAAAGGGCCGTACGGTGGCTCGGCTGAAGGGCAGCACCGCAAAGAGCATCCACGGGCTGCTCCAGGACACCCAGCTCAGCCAGCAGCCTCCTCTCCCACTCCTCTCCTCTCCCGGGGGTCTCAAAGCACCACAGGAACACCTTAACGCACAACGAGAGGCTGGGGAGCTCAGCTCTCCGGGCTGGGCCAGGTGATGCTCTGGGGGTGGAGTTTTCCATACAGAAGATGAACTCCCTGCCAGCATTTGGGGCACAGATTGGGAATTTTTCTTCCCTGAAGGTCATCCTGGATATCCAAGTAACACTGACCCCCCTGAAAAGCACGGGGCAAAAGAGAAATCTCCTAAAACAAACAGGGATGTCACGGGTGACCACACAAGAGTGTGCAGTGGCCATAAAGCAAACTGCTGTATTGGCTGTGACCAGACCCACGAGAGGACCCGGTCCTGCCCCACATCCCGGACCTCAGACACGGGCAGGTCCCACAGCCACCCCGACCCGGGGGTCTCCAACCACTGGCTCCGCAGGGCATCGGCTCAGGTGCTGCTGAGGAAGCCACCCTCCCCAGGAACACAGTCTGAGCACCTTCAGTTGCCTTATTGATGACACAGTAAATACTTGAAATCCAACAGCAAATATTTGCATGTGAATTAGTCAAGCTGCTCCTTCTCCCCCCGGCCAGGCACCCCTGTCCCTGCAGCAGGGACACACACGCAAACACACTCCGTGGGGTTCACCCAGGGAGGGGAAGAACTTCCCTCTTCTAACTCAGGAGGAAGCAGAAAGGGCTCTTCCTCCCCGCCATGGCTCCTGGTCCCCAGAAGAGCAGCCCATTCATAAATTCTTGGGGAGCCCAGGAGCCGCAGGTGAGCTCAGCCCTCGCCAGGCAGGAGCATACCGTGGAGCGGGGCCAAAATACCACAGCAGTACCCCAGCAGTAATTCATGCAAACCTTCAGTGGAGCAAACAGCAGAAGGATTCCCTGCAAGTGTTGTCACCTTCCATCACGTCAGCCTGGTCAGAGCTCTCCCCCCCTCCCCAGCCTCCCTCCTGCCCCCCTGTAAATAATGACTCAAATTCCCCAGAACCGAGGGGCTCAGCAAATGTTTCCTGCCTCAAAACGGGCTCTGTCCCTGCTGCCCGTGCCAGGAAAGCAGCCAGATAAATGGAGATCTTCCTGGGAACAGGGATAACTGGTCACACAGTAACGCTGCTGAGCCATGGGGCCACCACTGCTCTCCTGCCCCACACCCCTTCCTGGGAGGGCAGACCCTCCCCAGAAATCACAGGCTGCAGGAAGCTTGGGACACACTTGAGAAGGTGAAGATGGCACCTCCCTGATAGAACCAGGGCTGATTTGAAGCCCTGTCTGTGAGGTTACCAGAGCACCTCGCCTCTCCTGCTGCCTCTGGGTCCCCAGCAGCCCCAGTGCTGCAGGCAGCTTGGGTTTCTGCCCAGCTAAAACACCAGGCTGTGTCCTACAGAGGACAGCTCACACGCTGCCAGCACAAAACCAGCCTGGTGTCCCCAGGAGAGCAGGATGACAGACAACAGGCTGTCTCCTCCCCGGGGACCCCGGCAGGATCTCCTCCGTGGTCTCCACACGCAGCAGCTTTGGTTGCCTGCCTGCTTCCAGCTCCTCACCCGCTCCCCCCACACAGCGGGGCCAGCGGAGCGGGATGCCAGCACTGGAAATGCCTGTTCAGTGAAGGGTGAAAGGAGCAGCCCCCCAGTGCCAGCAGAGCAGCCCCCACAGCCTCCTGCCAGAACACACCCCCCAAACCCCCCGACTCCATGCCCAGGGAGCTGACGCAGGGGGGCTTTTTTTAAAAACAGAATATTTTGCCAATATATTCCAAGCAAGGCAAGCTCACTACGCGCAGGCAAACGCATCCCTGCGAGCCAGAGTTCTCATTTCAGACGAGGCTCTCTCTGCCAACACAAAAGAGCAGCTGCAGAGCTGCAGGGACACCGTTTCAAACCACCCCTCTCCTCAAGACAGGGCTGTAATAGACTCCCCACGCGGCTGCTCCGGCGAGGCATTGGTATGCACGGTAACCGCCGCGGCGAAGGGAGAGGGGAGAACACAGCGGGCACGTGGTTTGTTTTTCCTTCACATCTGATTACGCTCATTATCAGGCACAAGAGGACAGGTGTATTCTCCAGGCTCAACCTTACAAACCGGCTTGCTCTCCTCCGCCGGGCAGGTGGTGAGTTTGCCACTCGAGGTCTCCCCCGGTGCAGCTGATCGACTCGCTTACAATCAGAGCAAGGCTGAGTGAGCCCCAGCTGGAGCCCGACCCTCCGCCTCGCCGTGCTCCTCCAGCCAGCACCCCCCCAGGGCTGGGATGCTGCAGGAGAGGGGGAGCTGGGACGGCTCCACAGGAACCTTGGGGCCAAGGAAGCCAACTCAGTGACACGCTGAGAAGCCACGGATAAAGCCTCAAGATGCACAGCAACCTCCTCAGTGAGAAGTGCCCCACCACAGCTACATCCTGTTCCTCCTACATCCCATTAGCCCTCACATCATACATACATACACTCCCTCATACACCACACTCACTGCAAAGAGCCAATTTACCCCCCTACACGCGGGCAGGCACGACAACCACACACTTATAAGCTTCCCTACCCCTAAATCTGTCAGAGGGAGCTAACCTCCTCCTCTTCCCATTTATGCCACCATGGTCTGTTACACAAACCATTCCCATCTGCTTAAGAGAAGGAAAAGGACAAATATACTCACAAAAGAAAAAGAAGTATAATAGAGTCTGCTTCCCACCATCCCCTTTAACTATACCTGTATTGGGGCAGGGAAAGCACACGTGAGCTTGCCCCTCACAAACCCCCTCTAACTCAAAGAGCATGTTCTTTGTGGAGTTACCTGCATCTCACCTCTGAGAAAAAACAATGCACTAGCAGTGCTGCTCCAATCCCTGACACTCAACACACCACTTCTCTTTGCCTCTGCAAAGCCTCTACGCCGAGAGCACCGCTGTGATCTGTGCACCACACCACAGTGTTCCACCCTGCCTTATCCTCACCAGGGATACAGCACTCACCTTGCACGTGGGGCTGTCCAAAACAGGAGACAGAGCCCCCACGTCCAGTACCTGCTCAGAAAGCCGACTCTGGAAACCAAAGCCCTAGAGAAGAAAGCAGAAAAGCATCAGTGTCTGATGGGCAGGCGCAGGTTTTGTCAGAAATCCTGAGAGAATAGACCAAAACTCCTAACCCAGCTCAGAATCCACACTCCCCAACCCACTGCCAGCAAGTCTTTTGTAGCAGTGGCTATTGGAATAATCGGAGAGGTTTACAGGACACAGGAGAGGTTACACCAAGACTCTGGCCAGCATCCAAGCAGAGGTCATATCTGTGCTGCAGACAGATGGCTCTGGTAGCAGCCTGACCAGCACCGAGGTGGGTTTTTGCTTTCTCCAGCTGCAGAGGCACGGGCAGGACGGGTTACACAGAGCTACCCAGGGACGATGGCAGACGGGGTGCTCAGGATTCCCTACAGGCATGTCCAGGGAAATGTGCAGCACAGGGACTCCTGCCACTGATGGTCCCCGGGGAAACACCCCCTGTGAGGCCAGGGGACAGCAATGCCACCCAGGGAGGACACCGTGGGACCCCACCGTGACACAGGGTACACCCAAAGCAAGCAGCAGATCTTCCTCCAGCCTCTCCTGCTCTCGTTTCTGACACCACTGCACATTTCCTGAGATTTTTTTCCCTACTCTCCCCCCTGGCAGGATCCCTGGGGGTCCTCGCACCCAGCTGCGCACACGGCGCGTGTGTCTGTGCACACACACCCACCAGCAAGCACCACAAAAGGTATTGTTTGAGGTGGCAGACACTTGCCAACACACAAGCTTGTACTAACACCGATAAATAATGATATTCTCAGCCATTTGCTGGCCGGGCTGCCCCTGCTCCCACTGGCAGATGGCAGTGGCAGCTTCCTATGGAGAGGAAGAGATGCTGATGGGCATCTCCCCCCACCTCAGGGCTACCCTCCCGCATGTTCTCCCTCCAGGACCGTCAGGAGCCAGGTCTCCCAGCCACACAGAGCCTCCTTAGAAAAAGCTGCCGACTCCCTTCGAGCATAATTTCAACATTGCTTATTATTTTCCTTTTTGCAATTATCCGAGCTCGGTCCCAGCTCCGAGTGACCTACTTTTCCAGGGCTATTACCTCACCCACAGACAGAACCCGCTCAGCACAGGATGGCATCGCTGGCCTGCGCCAGGGCTCTCAGGTCATGGCTTACCAGTTCAGGACTGCAAGAGGTGGCCACAGCAGTAACAGGCTGCACATCCCCAGAGGAATTCACATTTCCACACCCAAAGGAGCTTTTAGAGACTCACCAGAGGCCGAATCAGCTCACGGGCTGAGCCGTTCAAGACTTGCAGGTCCTCCCCACAGTCGCTGATCTCAGATGCCTTCGAAAGCTGAGAGAAGATACGCGTTAGAGCCTGTACATGTCTTACCCAGCTTCACCCAGGCATTTCCAACAAGGTGACAAATGCTAACAGAAAGGCAAATCTGGCCTCTCTATAAGGTAGGGAAGGAGAGATGATTGAATATCAAAGGAAGGACACCAAGGGTGTGACCCACAAGACAAGCACAAAACACCACTTCACAGAGATAAGGACTGGGGAAGGAGGGCAGGGGTAGGAGGAGGGACTGGGGAGGGCACAGAAGTGCTCTTCAAACACCCCTGAGAAAGGCCACTTGCTTACTCTCCTCTGCTCCTCCTGCAAGGATCTCTGCAGCTCAGAGCTCCCTGGGCCACCACGCAAACGGGTAAAGCCCCAGAGGACAGTATGATCATCTTAAAAGGACTTTAGGAGTACACCTTGCCATGCCTCCCTCATTGCAGCGAGGACTCCCATGTTCCTGGCCACCATGAAACATGTGGCTGTGCCATGTGAACACCCAGGTAGCCCTGCTGGCTCCAGCAGAAGTACCCAGCCACACAAAGCAAGCGCACAGCTGAGTGTAACAGCAAAGCTTCCAACTTTAAGCTCTTCAGGACAGAGCATGTTTTCCAGGCTCAGTTTTATAGCTTATCACTTCTTAAAGACATAACACATCAATGGAACTAGAAAAAATCATCAAAATCAGCAGGAAAGCAGCTAGATTGGGAAGAGACATCTTTTCAGATCTCCTGTTCTAAGATCTCTGGAGGACCCTGAGCAGGTGTGGATGGTGGCACCCCAGTTGCAGGGGCCAGGCCACAAACCCACCTGCACCTTGAGACACTCATGGTGGTTCTCCTGCCAGAGAACCATCAAACACCCTTGTTCAACCGCTGCCGTCAGCCGTTCCCCAGTCCTCCCAGAGAGCACTGTGGGCAGACTGGGAGGGATTGTGCTCAATGGACCTGAGCTACAGCCCAGAGGTACCATCCCTCGCTGCTCCAACCTCACACCTCCCTGCGCATCCTTCTGGAGCCGCAGCTGGCACCTCGCTTACACTTCTGCCCCGTCCCCACAGAAGCTGAGAGAAACAACAGAAGGAGAGGCACACAGCAGCACGGGCAGCTGGGCTTGGTGGGATCCTCCATGCCCAACCTGCTTCCTTAGGACAGATGGCAGCACCCAAAGCTGAGACATTTCTCCTCCAAGAATTGAAACGTGCGTCACAGTTCGGGGGTTTTTGCCTGTCGGTTGCTTTGGCCAGCACTTTGTGGATGCTTACAGGAAGGATTTCCTGGCTCGGCGCTGAAGCTTCCAATCTGGGAATTCAGAGCACTTGTGCCCCCCACCTCCCCCGGGACACCCTGCTGACAAGGAGGGAGCTTACACTGACTCCACAGAAAAGGAGCAAGTGCTGAAAGAGCTCTCCTGGCTCAGGGAGGGGAGCAGCCCCAGCCACTTCCACACCAAGCCCGGCCCCTGCAGGGCTCTTACTTCGCCAGCATCCCGCCTGCTGTCTGGCTGCAGCTCAGCTGCTGCTTCTTCCCTCCTTTCAGTCACTATCTTTTCACCACCAGACAGGGTGTCGATGGTGGCAGCCAGGCTGGCCAGCTCATCTGCCTCAGCAGCTTCAGCAGCAGGAGACGCAGCTCTAGGTTGCCCAGGACCACTGGGCACATCCGTCCCTGCTGCGCTCCTTTCCCCCAGAGACTGGGGCAGCTCCTCAGCTGCAGAGATGTCACCTTCCACCTCAGCATCTTGCTTGCCCAGTGGCTCGTCCCCAGCAAGCTCCCCACCGGACTCCTCCTTGTTGTGGCCAGACAGGCTACTGTCAGCATCTCCAGGAAGGACCTCAACTGGAGTCGGAGGGCACCCGGCGGCAGAATCCAGGGAAGAATCTGGCTTTTCTTCAGCGTGTCTTGATTTTAAAGACTCCTTCTAGGCAGAAGTCAAACACAGTTATAGCTACGACAGTCTTTATCCCCTCTCTGGAACAGAAACAGCACAGGTTCTACAGCAAGAAGCAAAATCACAAAGCTTTGGGTGACCTCAAGACCAATTTGATTTCTTGTCATCAAGTCCCTTTCAAAGACAAGGAACTTCATTGACACACACACACTCATTTCCTGGGCTCAGACTTTTTGGTTTTTACTCTGTTGCTTTTGTTATTCCTGAGGTCTGAGCAGATGAGGGTGAGCAGCACCCACCAGCCCCCAGCTCTTCAGTAGAGCCACCCATGCTTCCATACGCATGAATGAAGATGGAAATTTGCGAGATTACTACTGGAATTATAAGGAGAGAAGAGCAGACAGGATGCCACCTTCCATCCCACCTTCTAAAGGGACAAACTTCAGGACAGGCACCGATTTAAGCCACCACCCTGAGCTCAGGGCCAGACCAGGACCAGACCGAGATCTGGCAGAACCCACTGGCTTTGGGAAAAGACAATCCCGAATTAAATTTCATCACCCAAAGGTTCGACGGCCTCTCCCAGCAGCGGGGAGACCCACAAAGCTCACAGTGCACAGTGCGATAGCCAGGAGGAAGCAGGAAGAGGTTCCCTCATCAGTATGCAAACAAACCCCTCGCACGTCCCGCTTCCTCGCTGTTTGATTAATGCTGGGGTGTCCTGTCACACACTGCCTGCGCCCTGCGTACAGCGTGTTCCATCCACGGGCTGCATATTTTAACCATGTATTTTTATCAAAGCACAACTGGAACGCTGGCAGCTGGAAACCCGGAGCTGCAGCACACGGGAAGAACATCTTCCAGCACATCGTTTGTCCCAGAGACCTTCTCAGGGCCGAGAGAGCCATCCGTCAGAGCGGAGAGGAGGACAGGCCAATCAAACCACAGGATGCTTCCCAAAACCCTGCCGTTCAGAGCCTCACCTGCAATCCGCCCAGTGAGAAATGAAAGCTTCTGGCCCTTTCCAGTTTGGTGGGGCAGAGGTTCACAGACACCCCCCTGCATCACTAGCCACCCACACAAGGCTCTGCAAAGGCCTTGATAACATCTTTATTCCAGAAGGCAGAGAAACAAGTGGCATTACCCCAGCAGAGGACTCCTTGTTACGCTCCCTTTACTCTGGGGATGAGGCAGCTGGGCTCCCCTTGGACAGCCTTGTTTTCCAGCTTCCCTAAGGACCTCTCTCCAGGACGTCCAGCAGTGCCCCAGCCAGGATCCTTAGGCTTCAGAACTGGGTATTTCCCTTCCAGGAGCACACACACCCCAGCAGAACACACCCCCAATACAGAGTGCCTTTGAAGGGCGATCGCTCCCCCCTGCTCCCCAATTCCCAGCTCTCAGGCCCAGAAGCACAGAGAGGGTCAGGTTTGCCAGACCTCATCCGGGTAGTGTTTGCCTTCAGCTTTTGAGTTTACAACTCTCCCCATGCACGTAATGCTTTAACCAGCAGGAGGAACAAGCCAAGCAGCGACCAGATCCACACCACACCACTAGAAGCCACCTACTGCGTGCAAAGCTGTGGTGACATCGCACCGTGATGTCAGAGCCACCCATCACCTCTCTCAGGCTGCCAGCTTCCTCCACGGGACTCCTCCGGTGCTGGAGATCAGCTTCAGTGACATCAGCTAATCGATTGCCACCGTCCTCCTCCTCTGCTCTGCTGCTCACCTAGGGGGTGGGGTAACATCCACTACCGAAAGGCCTCACACCATCTTTCCCAGCTGGCAGGGTCCCTGCCTGTGACAGGCCACCACCCTGCTGAAGGCTCTCCAGCCCCACATTCCCAAACATCAAACCCTTTATGCTCTGCTTCACTGCTGCTGGTCCTGCTGGCCAGCTCGGAGAGCTCGCTGTGCTCCCACACTCTTCCCAGCTCAGGACTCCCCCACCTCTCCCTACAGCAGTTCTCAGCTCAGGGAGAGCCAGGCCATGAACACAACAGCCCTTCCTCCCCTTTCCCTCATCATCCCTGTGCTGGGATTCCATGGATGTCTTTGCTTCCTGGGAGCCAGCAGCACTGCTCCCTGCACACACACATCTCTGCATTAACACCCAAGCCATGTCCTGCAATGTTTATTTACGGAGACGCTCCCGTTCACACCTCTCCATCTGGTGAGGAACCCTTGCGTGGTAATTTCCCACCACAGAAGGGACCCCCTTGGCTCCCAGTGTTTCCCCAGGGACTGACCTGTACAGAAGGGAGAGTGCTCAACCTCCCAAGCTGCAAACACCGCATCAGGGATCGCTTCTGCTGCCCTGGCACCCTCTCCCCAGGCACCCAGAGATGCTTCCAGACCTTTCCTCCTCTTGCCCCTTCCGGCAGTATCCCAAAGCCCTTTTTTTATTTAGAGCAGAGTCACACGTGGCTGCAGCAACTACTCCATCCCAGGAATTCAGGAGGTAAATGAGCTGGGTTCAGGTGATAGCTAACCCCACGAGCAGCCAAGCAAACCAAGCTGCCTCAAGGAGATCCTCATTCCAAGGGTATATTCAAACTACACAAACCTCACACCTCCAGCAAGTTCTCCAGCACCTGACTTGGGTTTTCTTTTCCCCACTTAACTTACTCCTTGCTCCAGAAGAGCCCACTGAAGGGGGTCCCATTTCTGTCCATCTCTCCTCCTTCTCTCCTGCCATCTTTAATGAGGCTTCCACTCTCAATATCACAGAGACATCCTTGTGTCTCAACAAGGCATCAAAACCAAACACTTATTTCCTTTGAATACAGGTATCCAACTCCGACACAGAGGCTACAGGAAGCCAGGTTCTTCCATCACCTCACCCCATTACGCTTAAATTTTCCCCTTTCAGGGCTTTGCTGTATGAATCCTTTCCTTCTCTCTGTTTTGTAGAGAAGCTGGAGGACAGCTGGGGCTGCGGCTCCTTCCTGGGAACGCCTTTCTGCTGCCACCTCATGGAGCTCCGACTGAATTGTACTTTCCAGTGGGGCAGGAACATCCCATCAGGACCAAGCTATCACCCATCTGGGTTAGCAGAGCCTGGCTGGTGGGTGGCAATTGCCATTTCAGAATAGATTCCCCAGGCCCCGCCGCGGCGCTGAAATGCCACGACAGCTCTTTGTTCCTGGACACATGAACATTTCAGTGACAAATTGGACCCTGACAGGCTGCTTGTTGTTTGGAGACGAGAGAGTTGGGCCTTTCCTTTTCACATCCACTTTAGCACAAGCCTTTGCAGTTGCTGCGAAAGGGCTTTCCAGCAAAGCACTTCACAGCTTAATTTTTGTATGCCGGGAAAAGGATAAGGGAAATACTGTAAAACACTTTAAAAGAAATTAATTCGCCTTTCAGATAGTGGAACAGAATTTTCAAAGCGGTAAGAAAGGATTAGTGTCAGTGCAAACAGTTGGGCTGGATCACCAGAGCTGCTTGCAACACACTTCCCATTGTGCCCTTGTCACCCTAAGCCTGATGAGCCCAAAGGCAGCGCGGGCTGAAGGCTGCGGGGACAGCCCTGTCTGCACAGGGCCATGCGCCTGCTCAGCTCCTGGCTGACACTCTGAGCCGAGGAATTCATCAGCAGTGCAAAAAGAAAACAGGTTTTGGGCTGTCACAGCAGAGCGGCCACTTAGAAGTTTAAGATCCTTGTGGAACTCAGTGACAGAGCGGTGTTTCCAGAGTCCTGTCCCCAATGCCACCGTTGCAGCTTCAGCTGAGAATAAGCCTTCTTTCTATGCACACTGAAAAAAGCCATGAGGAAGCAAAGCATGCCCCTTCCTCAATAAGCCTCCCTCCTATAGCACCTCGGATCTGAGCCCCCCTCCTTTCTGCTCCTCCTTGGAAGAGCTGATTTCCAGCTTGTCCATCGCACCTACATGGCTCTGAGTGCCTCTTTCTTCACTCAGAAAGATGTGTGAAGATGCCACCTCCTCAAATCCATCTACCAAACCACAAGCATTCTCCTTCAAGCACAAACCTGCCTGCAGCACAGCGACCACCCGGCTGTGCCCTGCAGACCCCCTGGCTTCTCACCCACTCCCCCAGTGCTTCCCCTCCGTCGCTCTGCTCTGGGCTGTTCCTGCTCGTAACACACAAAGCTCATCCCTCCAGCACCTCTCCTGCCCGTCCCACGTCTCCTGCTGCCTTACCTCGGAGTCAAAGCTGCCTCCCAGGGCACTGACGTCCATGTGCAGGTTTTTGAACAGTCTTGCTGTCCCACGGAGACTCTAAAGGCATAACAAAAGATGGCCAACATCAAGTTCTGACCTCCACAATCCCACGGGAGGAACGGGGGGTTCCTACTCAGTGACACAGGGCAGCAGAGCCACAGCAGCACAGGGCAACGAGTCTACAGGCAATTCATTTCGGCAACACATCGTGGCAGACGCTGATTTATAGGGAGTACCATGAGAAAACAGGATGAGATGCTTTTTGGTGATCAAGCAATACAGAGGAAAGAGAGCACAAATTGAGGCCCAGAGTGAAATGGAACAGCCGCGGTCAGGCAGTTACTCCCAGGGGAGCAGCAGTTTCTCATTCCTTGAGGCTTCATGCACTACGGACACCGACACACATCAAGAGCCAAGGCACAGAAACTACCTCATTCTCACTCTCTGGCTCTTCTTTTCTCCCTTTATCTGGAGCCGCTGTGTTCAAGGAACTCTTCTCTTCACAGACCAAGCCCAGCAAGGTCTTGGTGGGGCTGGTGGGTTTACAGATATCTGCAGGCTGCAGAGAGAGGGAAGTGGGGGGACAGCCAAAGAGAACAGGGAGACACAAACCCACCCAGACACCAGCCAGCAGCTGGGAAACCGCTGGATGCTGCGAAGGTGCTCAGGGTGGTGCTGTTCTCCTGTCCTGCAGGGCCACATCCAGCTGGGAGGTGACATTCTTTATGAGAGGCCCCCTTCACCAGAGGGGCTCCTGCCCTACAGAAGTACATCTGCAAAACCTGCCTGGGCCTCAAAACACCCATTCAGTCAAAACCACAATAAAACAAAGCGTTTGAAATCACCAGTGACAAGACTTAACCCAGCGAGAAGAGAACCTTCAGTGAAGGTGTTGATTTGTATAACGTTTTGCACACCTGTTGTTTTCTTTCCCTTTAAAAGATCAATTTGTTACCACTTAACGTGTTTGTTTTGTTGACCCAAAGGTCACGTTCTATAAATAATCAGTGACACGATTGTCAATCTTACCTCCGTCCAGAAAATTGTTCTTTAAGTTTTTCTATTCTCAGCAAATAGTTGAGTGACAATATTTGCTGGATTACGTTATCTGTACTGTATCTCATGCTGCATTTGGACACAAATCAAAGTTTTACTAAAGGGGACTTCACACGCTTCCCCCCCAACAGTAACTGAAACAATTATTTCTTCAAATCTGCTAAACATAGCAGAAGAAAGCTCACCATAAAACTTAGCACCGGGCTCCCTAGAAATGACAAAAGGAAAGAAATATAGTGCAAGACAGAGTAGGGAGTTGGGTTTTTTCAACAGACAGAAGTATTTCGAAATTGACAAGAGATCACAAATTCTGTCATTTAAGATCTTAAGTATCCCAATGCCCATGACCTTCTGCAGAGTGTGCTTTTCGTGGCAGACGGAGCCCTACCTGCACCCCTCCTCTGGCTGCCAGGCTGGACTCCAGGGAGCTGTTCAGCTCGGAGTTGAGTGACCCGCGGAGGACGCCGGCCGGAGACACCGCACGGCCACGCAGCGGAGCCAGGGTCCCCAGGGGCGGCTGGACGGGGCCGAGCTGGCTGCCTGAGGCCTGAGCGGGCAGAAGAGACACGGGTGAAAGGGAGAAAACCCTCCCCTGGGCAAGCACTGAACTCAACACTGATCCCACCACCACCACAGAGCTGCTCCTGAATCCCACACCCAGCACCCACCAGCACGGGAGACACACAGGGAACAGCAGTTCGATTTAGTCACACATTTTGTCTTTTAAAGACCCATCTGCCTACGGTGATTTACTTGACAGCAGAAAGTAAGTGGGCATTGCTCCAAAAGCAAAGGGAGAGAACAGCAACAGGCACTCCAGCTCCCACATCTGCAGACCCACAGCACCCTGGAGAAAGGGCTCTTGCCCACCATCACATGCCACAGGCAGACTGGGCAGCTTGGCTACTGTTTGCCCTGCTACCCTGTCAAACGAGTGAAGGAGAAACCACTCCGATGGCAACAAGCCTCCTGCTCTCCACGAGCTGTAATTATCACTTCTTTTTAGACCGAAATCCAGGCTGCTTCCTCACCTTCCACCAGTGGAAGAGCTATGGGCAGCAGAAAGCAGCTCTGTAAGATGTGCAGCACGTCTGTGAGGAGCTCCTGGAGACACCTCCCCTTCCAAAGCCCAGGGGCAAGAGCCCTGGGAGCCGTCCAACATCCTCACCTCTGAGCAACACACGCCTGACATTGAGTTATCTTCACCCAGAAACATGCCCATTGTGTTTGGCTGTGCAGAATTCCCCCCCAGGGGGACTCCACAGGGAATTCTGCAGGGCTTGTGTGGATTCAGAAATCACAGCTCCTCTGCTCTGTGTCTCTGCACAATCACAGACCGAAAACGGAGTTCGTTCACTCACACGCTGAGGGATGGGGAGAGGGAGATGAATCTACACTGATCCTTCTTCCACCGAGTCGCTGCCACAGCAATGGTAACAGAATAAATCACACGTTCTGGGCTTAACTAATTATTTTCTACAGATGGCCATTAACTACATGTACGGAGCAGAGGATATTAGCTGTCCTTCAAAGATAAACTCACTTCCATCAGGCTAATTAAAACTTTCAGGATAATCTGCAGTTTATCTGATATTTATAGTCATAGTTCTTATCAGCGAGCCGAGCACGACCACACACTGGTAATTAGAAACCCGAGCTGGCAATTTGGTGGAGCCACAGCTGGGAACCAGCAACACTCAAAGCAATTCATTAACATCACACACATTGACCTTTCGCTTCATTTTTTTTTTTTTCCTCCAGAACAGGAGATTTGGTAAATTCTTATTAAATTGAGGCAATTACTTATGGACAAAGACAAAACAACCAGGAACATTCTTCCCAGTGAAGGGCAGGATCCTGTCACAGGCAGAGGGAAACAGTTTGGACAAAACTGAGCCAAATGGTTGGGCTTTGCAGAGGAAGACAGAGGAAGGTACGTTTACAGATGGCCCATCACACCTGTAGGGTACCTCGGTGTCCCACCAGCACAGCAGCAGTGCTTCAAAGACTAAACTGTGCTCAGACAAGTCAATATTGCACCCATGTGCAAAACAACAGCCTGTAACCACCAGGAACACTCCTCCTTTTGCTTGAGAAAGCCAGTTGTGACTTTTCCCCATTTTTCTTTCATTTAAGAGGGAACAGAGAAGGCTGTGGATGCAGCAGAGCTGGCTGCAACTTATGGTTTCTTACATCACCTCAACCAATTCAATCACTCTGGGCCTCGAGATGCAGCAAGCAAAAATTAAGCTACAAATAGCTGAATAATCCCTGCCCCTCAATTTAGATTGTGGGGCTCCAGGGAAAAGGCTGGCTTTGTAGTGTGGCTACTAGGAGGAGTCTTAGAGCCAAAATTAAAGACGATTTTGTACTCAGTGTGGCCATCCTGCTTGATTTACTGCCCATCACCTGTTTTTAGTTCAGAAGGCACCTCACGTCCTTGCAAAGCTGACACGAAGTGTGAATTGAGCAGTGTTTCCTATGCAAGGAAGACCTCGACCAAAGGCTCTCTCAAGCCACCTCCTGAGCTTCAGGAAAAGCACTAGAACTAATGCCGCATCTGCATGTGACTTCCAACAGGATGGTTTTGTCCCTTTTCTCCTGAAATTTAGCTTAGAAGCAAAATTTCACACTCTCAACTCTCCGGAAACGTTTACAATGGAAGGTCCATCACAAAGGACTTCAGTCCTACCTCGTTCCCACCTGCTCCTTCACCAACATCTATTTTGCTGCACCTCTGGCTTCTCTGGTTTGGGGCATCTCCACTTCCACATGCTGACAGAAGCTCTTGCTCCCCTGGCACTCAACCTGCAAGTCTGCTGTGGCTGTCTCTCCCCACACCCCGGGAGCTTGATCTGTCCTTCCATCTCCTCTCTTCACTTCTCTCTGTGCTCCAGCACCACGAGGCTCCTGGGCAGTGCATTTCCCACCGAAATGGACAGGTTCAGGTTCTGGCTCACAGCACAACTTCGTATCCTCAGAGCTATGCTCCCTCTCTGACTTGAGGGCAGGACACAGAGCCTGAGGAAAGGCTGATCCCAGGAAGGAGTGAGGCAGATGCTCTCCTGCGATGCAGCACCCATCCTTCTGTTTCCCAGAGCCGTGGTGTGGAGGGGGGCGAAGGCTCCCCCCGGCTCCCTGGGCCACGTTACTGCCACGAGAACTGGCTGAATCGCTGCCATCACCCTCTGATATCACACCACTGCCTCTGCCGCCTCTCCAGCCACCTTTAGCAGATGAAAACACATGTTTTGATGTAGGTCCCACATGGATTCGTCTCTTTGCACCTGCCCCTTGGGATTGGGGTAGTACATCTGTGATCCCGTGAGGAACCATGGAGCAGCTCTCCAGCTCACCATTGCCACCACCTACTCCTGGATCTGCTCCTACAGCCAGCAGCTCCCTCTGCTTTAAACCCTCTCTCTCCACTCTACTGGTGGCCTCACAGCTCTGGGGCAGGCTGATGGCCTGACCCAAGGCCTTCTCTCGGACTTCCCTCTTACTTCTACTCTCAGATACTTCGCTGGGGGATCTCAGCTCCTCTGGAGCATATGGAACATCAGCTGTCTCCTGCAAACTGCAGTCATCTGCAGGACTGGCATCACAAAGGGTCCTTTTATTGTTCCTGTGGTACAAGTTTTCTTTTTCTCTGGCTTGCAATATGCCTGGACTTCTTTCTACATCCCCATCTGGTCCTGTAGATTTCTCTCTGCCTGAGAAGCGATGATCAGGCTTATGGACACACTCACCCGTCACATCTTCCATCTGCCACTTCTCTTTCAGCTCTTCAAAGAGCAGGATTTTGTCTTCAGAGGCAGCCAGCACAGCTTCCAGTTTCTCAAAGTCTGGTGTACAGGATTGCTTTGACACACACAAAGGTTGCACTGGCGGCCTAAACTCTAAACCATCAGACTGCAAGTCAGAGGAGCCAAACCAGAGCTCTTCCTGCATTTCTAAGGGTAGGTACAGGTCCTGGTCGATGTCTGCATCAGAGCTGCCGGAAGAGAGGCTTTCTTCTAAAGTGTTCTCCTCATCAGGGAAGATTTGGCACAGCCTGATGACCTTAGAAACAAGCAGGGGAGGCAGTTTGCTTTGCCACGTGCCTGCAGATATTCTCGAGTCCCTTATGCCTGATGGTCTCCCTTTGCCTTCCTCTCTGATCTGGCTACTGGGATCTGGCTCAGGACTCTCCCGCCCGGGCGCCAGAACAGCAGAGGGCATGTGACAGAAGGACATTGAAGGGAGATTGCCTGGCTGCATGTTCTAAGTAGATAAATATCAGCAAATAACTAAAATATGTCACATAATACTATATATACCCTTAACTATCTAAAGTAGAGGTATCTACTTATTTAACACACAATTTGGTATACAAACAGGTGTGTAAATTTTTTTGACCACTTGAAATTACATATATACATATAAATTACCCAGACTGAAGGCTTTCTGAGTTGAGGTCGTCTATGCCTTGAGCAACGACGCAAGGCACCATCTTTCCCCATGGAGATTTATCTCATTACTGGCTAATGGAAGGTAGGAATTATCTGCTATCACTTGGGATATAAAGGGAATTTGATTAGGCTGGCGGATACCAACAGCAAAGCAGAGTAGCCTCACACATCTAAGCCAGTGGTCGGTGCCTGAACATCACAGCAACACACACGGACACCGCAGAAACACCAGTTGTTGTCCTCTTCAAGGTCGGAAATTTTTCCAGCACTCCAAACATCTGCTGCTAAGAATAGCACCAGCATCCTTGGCTGCTGCCACGTCCTTCTCGGCAACAGCATCACAGGACTGGGGCACCCCCAACTCCAGCTGTGTCCTTCTAAAGGGAAGCTTCCCAACTTCTGGGGGTTTGTGACCCCCAGTTCTGTGGGATTTTTGATCCAAACTCACAACTTCTGCTGGGCAGACCCCCTCATTCACAGCCACTTGGCCACCTTCCACCCAGCCCTCCCCGGCAGCACCGCAAGCACAGCCTACTCACGGTGAGTCGCTTCAGCGCCTGCTTCTCCTTCTTGTCTTTCTTCTCTTTCTTTTCTTTCTTATTCTTCTTCTCTTTCTTCTTCAGGCCGCCACGTGCCAGCAGTTTCTCTCGCTCCTGGATGACACGCTCTCTGTAGTAGTCATCAGAGGGGTCGTTCCACACAGACTGGCCGTTAGAAAAGTTGAAGTAATAGATATCACCAGTGACATCTTGGCTGTGTGGCAAAAGAACAGTGTGAAAAGCTGAAAGAGGGCATACCAGAACATTCTTACGGGATCACAAGAGCACCTTAAGCTCAGTGAAGAGGAGCATGGTGTCTCCAAGAACCCAAAGACACATCAGTGTCTCCTAGAGACCGCTCATGTCCTTACCCAACTCCCCAAACACTCCTTCCCCTTCTCCCACCACCCCAGAGAGTCCTCAGCTCCCCATCCACAGGAATTACATCCGTGGTGGCATTGTCCCCCTTTGCCAGCCAGTACCCGGCTCTGCCACCGACGTGGGCAGCACGCAGCAGGGAAAGGGCAGGAATCCAAGAGGATTTGGCAGAGCTCTCACCAGGCTTTCCACTCGGGAGGTAATGGGGCCACGATGCCTTCCCTGGCCAGCCAGAGCAGCTCCGGCTCCTTCTCAGGGTCAATCCCAATCTCCCGTGCAAAATCGTGGATTTCTAGGAAAACAGAAAAGGAACCCAGGGAGATGGTCCACACCAGGTACTACGGAACAAAGCCAACCTCCTCAGCCAAAGCAATGGGCACACTGGGAAATCCTGACCCTGGAACAAAGCTGCTCCAAGGCGCCAGCGAGCACGTCCTGCCAGGCTGGTGAAGCAGGGAGACAGACTGCAAAGCAGCATTCATCTTCGCAACCAAAAAGCTAATTTTCCAGCTCTGTCTTCTGAAATCCCATTTATTCTACCCTCTCCAACCATGCCCTCCCGATTCCTGTTTTCTTAATACACTTAGGAACTGAGCACGTAAGTTACTTGTAGGACAGGCAGCAGTTACCTTGCTCGCTGGGAATGTAGGTCTCATCGTACTCTTCGTGCAGGATGAGCTGGTCACCAATGCACATCATAGCCCCTGCCATGGCTCCCTGCACCTGAAGGAAGCAACACAAAAATAACAACTACCACCTGCACGCAGAAATAAAGCTTCCTCATCACACAGCAGAGCCCTGGGAAACTCAGCACAGGGGCTGTGGAGGGGAAGAAGGTGCCCTGGCGCTGCCAAGCGTGGGTGCAAAGAGCAAAGGCAGCCAGAGTGATGGATTCTGGCAAAAGGCAGGAGGGCACAGCTAAAAGCTGCCCTGGTCACAACACCCACAGCCTCAGCCACCCTAGAGGAAGGACAAGGCACAGGAGGGCAGAGCTCTCTGCTCTGTTCCCAGCAAAGCCAAATCAAAGACCTTCCACACACACCTCACAGGGGCTGTGGGCACAGGAAGCAGAGCTGGAACAGCACAGAAGTTATAATCAGACACCCCCCAGGCTTTCAAGCTTCTGCAGAGGAAATGAGCACTTGCTTCAGGAACTTTTTTAACAGTCCAAAAACAAGCTGAAATGAGAAAAAGAAGAAAGAGAAAGAAAGGAAGCGGTTTTCCCAGAGCACACCATGGCTTTTTGAGAGCAGTCCCTCGGCTGAGTCAGCGCTGCCCAGGGCCAAGGCAGCTTCTCCCAACTCCCAGCCTCACTCGGCCTCTCTCACCTTCCCAGGGGACATTTCAGAAGCTATAAAAGGATCCTAATTTAACGTGTCCCACCTCCAGAGCATTGTTTCACTGTTTAACTCACAGACTGAAGGCAGTGATTTAGCCCCACCACAGCTGGGCCCTCACCACCCCTTCACCACAGGTTTAGGCAGTTGTAAGTTCATTCCCCCACCCCAGACACCACTGGGAGAGGTCGCTGACACACCAGAGGGCTGTGCAGCCATCCAGCAAGACCTGGACAGGCTGGAGAGCTGGGCAGAAAGGAACCTGATGAACTTCAATAAAGGCGAGTGCAGGGTGCTGCATCTGGGGAGAAATAACCCCATGGACCAGGACAGGCTGGGGGTGACCTGCTGGAGAGCAGCTCTGAGGAGAAAGACCTGGGAGTCCTGGTGGACAATAGGGTGCCCATGAGCCAGCAGTGGGCCCTGGTGGCCAAGAAGGCCAATGGCATCCTGGGGGGCATCAGGAAGAGTGGGACCAGCAGGTCAAGAGAGGTCATCCTGCCCCTCTGCTCTGCCCTGGGGAGGCCCCATCTGGAGCACTGGGACCAGTTCTGGGCTCCCCAGTTCCAGAAGGACAGGGAACTGCTAGAGAGGGGACAGCAGAGGGCTACAAAGAGGATGAGGGGCCTGGAGCATCTCCCTTGTGAGGAGAGGCTGAGGGACTTGGGTCTTTTAAGTCTAGAGAAGAGAAGGCTGAGGGGGGGATCTGATCAAGGCTTATAAAACTTCAAGGGAGGGTGTCAGGAGGATGGGGCTGGTCTTTTTTTCAGTGGTGCCCAGGGACAGGACGAGAGGGAATGGCCACAAACTTGAACATAAGAAGTTCCACCTAAACATGGGGAGGAACTTCGTTACTATGAGAGTGGCAGAGGCTGCCCAGAGAGGTGGTGGAGTCTCCTTCTCTGGAGACATTCCAAACCCACCTGGACACATTCCTGTGGGACCTGCTCTGGCAGGGGGTTGGAGGAGATATCTCCAGAGGTCCCTGCCAACCTCACAGGAGTCTGTGATTCTCAGTCCTCTTCTCCAGGCTACACAGGTCGCTCAGCCTTTCCTCAGCAGAGAGATGCTCCAGCCCCTGATCATCTTTGTAGCCTCCCACCGGACTCTCTCTTGCAGTTTCCAGTCCTGGAACCGGGGAGGGACACCGGAACTGGACACGGTGCCCCAGAGACGTCCCCACCGGGGCAGGGCAGGGCAGAGGGGAGCATGGCCTCCCGTAGGGTGCCAGGGGTCATTCCTCCGAGGTGGGACAACCTCCCCTCCCCTTGCTGAGCTTCATCGAGCTCTTCTCCACCCAACCGCACCGCTACCCGAAGCGGAGCCCGCTCTGCCCGCCCTCGGCCCGCTCAGCGCTCCCTGCAAAGCCGCCTCAGCAGCCGCAGCCATTAACCCCGGCGGCCCCCCCCGCCCGCCGCGCTCCGGCCCTCCCCGCCGGCCCCGCACGCTTACCCCACGCCGCTCCCGGGTTCCCGGCTCCCAGCCCCGCTCCCCGGGGGCTCCGGCCGGGCCAGGCCCGCGGGGGGAGCCGTCACCGCCGCCCGCTCGCCGC